CATATGAATTATATTTATTTAAGAAAAATGAATTTAAAAAAATAATGCTTGCGAGAGTCATCTATGTATCGTGATTTCTAGTAACACAAGTAATTTAGAATTTAGAATGGTTAATAAAAATACTTAAAAATCTCATACAATGAGATTATGATTACTAGTATAACAATAATCTTTTATATATCTTATAAAAGCTTATTATTGACAAGCACAATGTATAACAATATTGCCACATAATATTGATGCATTATACGTGATGATTTAATGACAGTGTCTTTATTAATTCTTCTTCACCAAAGAATACAAAACTGCATCTATTGTGCAACAACTCGATTTAACTAAACGGTTCGCCAAAAGAATCGCCGATACATTCGCCGTTTCGTTGGAAGAGGAATAAAAAGCATATGCGTAAATGGGGCAAAGCAGGCAGCATAAATTCAAACCTATTTACGCGGCAAGGGTAGCGTAATTTATTGCCCGCCAACGTAATGGAAACGCCCATAGAGAAAGAGATCTCCCCGGTGCAAATTCGATTATATGCAGTCGTATCCCCTGAGTTAGACTACCTCCGCGCGGGTCTTCCCATTCCCCGTTTCTCTTCTGGCTGGCTCTGGAGCAAGTTAAATTAAAAAACGTACCGCGTATATGGACCTTTATATTTCATAGCGGTCGCTTCTTCGTTCACTAATTGTGAGTATAGAACCGCGACAATTGATTCCAGCTGGTATTTCTCGATGAAGATTGAAACCAGTTGAATGGAAAGCTATCCATCTAAATGAGAGAAATAATGACATTTGAGATATATTTAACTTTAATTGAGATATATTTAACTTTAATGTGGATATATTGCGAAATAAATTATTAGATAAATATCAGAAAAATCGTGCACACACGAGAAAGATATCTACTGATGGCGAGCATTAAATGTTTGTTGTATTAAATTAATTAATTAAAAGCTTTTTTCTTCTCATGTATTGGAATAGGTTTTCCTTGGAAAACGGAGGTTTTATATCGATAAAATTGTACGCGACTGTAAATGCGCGAACTAGGCGTAGATGCGCGAAACGAGCGGTTCGATGCGTTTTACACCCTTCCAGGAGCTTTCGCCCTATAACCCCCCACGGCGACGCTTTTTACGGTGACGGACGACTTCTGGAGGCGTGTCGACGTGTATGCGACGGAACCGACAAAGGGTGGGCTCGCGTGATCGAAGCTCGGATAGAAAGACGCCCACGGAAGTCATGAGGTCGCGCAATCGCAAAGACATCTTCGTCTTGTCATCGCCGATTTCGAGAGAGGATCATCATTGTCGAAATTAAGACCTCGCGTTCGATTTATAAGAGGAAAGTCAATGGCGTGTCGACAATTGCAAAAAATCGGTGATCATGTTGCTAGCAATAAAATCAGTCTTTACACAATTTCTTTAAGCTTTTTTTTTTTTTTAAATTAAACTATATAGCACTTTGTAAAGAATGTTTATAAATTAGTCTTTTATTATTATAAACTTTAAATTCTAAGTTTTATTGTACAGAAATTATTTTCTAAAGTTCTTTGTAGAGATTCGGAGAGCCCCAGTTGTAGATAAAACAGGAAAATTTTAAGCTTTAAATATAAGCTTTATATATTTTGATACATATATATTTTGATATAAACAGCAGAAAAATTTTATAAAAAATGCAAATCTCAGTGTAAAGTTAGAAATATTAAAAAATTAAAAAACTAACTTCAAAATCTGCTAGATAGCTGATTCAAAATTTATGCGATAACTATAACAATTCAAATCTTCTATACGATTTGTATGCGATACTTATATATTTGGTGCGTTCGCGTGACACGATACTTGATATAAGAGTCAGACGATTTCTGACGTTCATTTGCCGCACGGCTTACACCCTTTTGGCGACGTAATAACGACGATGCGTATGCATGACAGATTTTATGGGCATCAATCGTGCGCATAGAATAACGCTGTACCATCTGTTATCCCGTGGTCAGGTGGAAAATTTAACGATCGACGCGATGCATTAGGGAAATATCACACTTCGATCGATCAAGCTTTTATGCGAATTCTCAGTTCGACGTATTATATCTGTATGCGTGAAATATGTTTGCATGAACATGTGGCTGTTTCATGGTAAAAGCCAAGTCCATGAAAGAGATCAATTAAATAGCCGCAACTAACAATCTTTGGAAAGTATTGGCCTAAAAATTATAGTTAAAATATGCACAAGGAATCTTTGAAAAGTAGGTAGTACATAATAATTTTGCTCAAGTATCTAAAAGTTTAATTAAATGTATATATAAATTAATAAAATAATTTTATTAATTGAATTATCAATATAATCAGTAAGACACTTAAGCTGGTTGCATTTTTTGCAGCATCACGTTTAAGTTTCCTATATATTCATTTTGATAGTTTAACAAAATTATTTTTTAGAAAATTATTATTTTTAGATCTATATTCAGCTACATTTTTAGATATTTCAGTAAAATCGAAGTAAAATGTAGAGTGATTATCATTGGTAATTTACAAATAATTGAATTATTATAATAGTATTAAATAAATAAATCTCAGAATTTAGTCACTCTGTATATATGATATTAATTTCAGTCGAAGCTCATATTTTATGTATTATTATATAATCGAATATAATCTTAATGTATTAACAGTACGGAAGAATAATGTTAACTAAAAGAGATAATTTTCGCTATAGAACATACTAAACTGAATGGATTAATACTGTCAATATTTCATACAAAACAGTACTCTTTTATTCACAGATATATGTATGTCAGAATCAATCTTTTTTTCTTTGCAATAGATTTTTATTGTAAAATAATATGTTGAAATAGAAATTTTATAAAAACATCATTTTTTAAGTATAATTTTCTTGCTTTTTGTCGCATTTGATTTATCGCATGCGTAAGTCAAGCATAAAGAATAACTGATTGAAAGTAAACCGAGATCAAGGAACCGTCTCATAATCACAACTACGGCCTTTACGATTTGTGCGCGTTTATATACGCGTGCAATCGATCTGTACAGTCGAATGCACGTGCAGACTTAGAGGGAGGGTAAAAAAGAAGAAACAGAAATGATAGACGGGCAAGGAGAGCAAAAGAAATATACGTGAATGATCTTGGGCAAGATTATAAAATGGCGTCCCTCATCCCTCGTGACTGTTCTTAATTTCGCTCAGTTCCTTTTGTCCTCTTACCTTCTTTCCCTCCTCCTTTTCTTTTCCTCCTCATTTTCTCCTCTCACTCTGGGCTCCTCGTTCGCAGACAGATGCTATCCTTTTATTTCTTGTACGGCGCGCTCCACGTTGCTTACCGAATCGAGAAGAATCAGCAGCTCAAAGGAGCTCCCAGGGGATGACTCTCGAATTCTTTTGCACTACGATTCCGATGAATGCAGCCGCCGCGACGCATTAATAAGCCGCGATGGACCAGCGTTGAATTATTAAGCGTAGACGATATAGATATACTTTAGGGGGATTTTTAATATCCGACGAAATGAAGTTTATTCTGTTTTGCTTTCTTTCATCTCACTGCAATATGTATACTGCAATAAATGCGCTTTATATGATTCTTTTATTTATTCTTAATAAATAATATCGCGTGATAAACGTTGAACTTTCCATTACGAATGATATACTTTCACGAAATTTTTATAAACGGCGAGATAAGATATATTTCTTACTTGAGAGTATTAATTAATAATAATTAATTTCATAAAAATGGGGAATTACAGTATTATAAAAAATTCAAGATAACTGTATCCAATATATGACTTAACTTGCTGTTTAGATAGTTGCATGGATTAAATCTTCATTATTTATGTAAATATTAAAAATGTTTAATATTTTTAATTACTATTAAAAAATATTTTTTATTTTGAATCTGACCACCAATGTTGATAGCTCAATAAAAAATTACAACTTTTACCTAGAACATTATTGAGTACAGTTATCTTATTACAATTATCTTTCTGTACAGTCTAATACTGTCAATGAATAATGTCCATTAAATGACGTTTTCTTCTATTAATACACATTAATGAAAATATACTTCTACATAACAATCTACAAACGCTAAAATTCAGCGCCTCTTCTTCAAGATGTGTAGCGTTTAACAACGTGAATAAAAGACGTAAACGCAAAAGATCGGATTACATTCGCCAGCATCTTACTAGTCTCCTCTCCTCCGTTTCTCCAGATCCCTCATCCTCTCATCTTCCACGCCGCGTTCGGGGCGCTCAACAGCACCCCAGCAACGCGGTACTCGAAGTCATACGGCGTTGGTGGCGTGCGCCATATTGGTGGGCGGTCGAGCATCCCTCCAATCGGCATCTACCGGACGCTGGCGTGGGTGCCGACCGCACCCAATAATCCAGGCATTTGCCCCACCAATCAGCCGCCACACCCACGAGTGTCACGTGCGCATAAGCAACATTGTTCCTGGTGAACCAGTCGTGCGCGTATCCTCGTACCGTGCTTGTCGTGACAGTTACTTTACGAGAGTGTCTTTCTTACGTCACGATATTCATAGAAGTGTTAATGCGATAAGATAAACTTGAGGAAATACGTCAGACTTGTTTGTTCGGATTATTGTAACTTCATAGCAAGCTTCATAGTACACGTCGATGTTATCCATGATCATTTAGGTGAAGTTCCAATCAAAGATATCGATTATGCACGTTGAGGAGTTTGAGTGAATTTCGTACGATTTCGTGAACTCCAAGTTTCTAATTGAAGACTAAACTGTGCAATTAAGATGGATTAAATGCCAATAGCAACTTTGAAGAGTTTACAATAATAGCCTCTGGAGATTGTTGACAGGAAGGCAGCAAGAAAGTTTTAATGAGATGTGTTGAAGACAGACTTGTAAGAATTAATAATTCATCTGAAGATCTTTTCGTTTAAAAGTCTGCAAATTTACTTCCACTAGATACATTTCTGAGACAATTAAGAAACTTGGATTTTTCAAAGATACTCTCTCCTTCTACCGTGCCTTATATGTAACCATTAGGAGGAAATCGCATTGAATCTTTTATTGATAAAGAGAATCTCGAACAAAAAGAAGCATCGATATGCTTCATATGGAGTACCGCATTCGCTGAAATCGCAGGAACTCGTAGATAATAGCGGCAGCTGTGATTACAAGCTAAAGCGGGCGGCAGGTATGACTAAGATGAGACTGGAGTTGTTGGGATGCGAGACTCTTCCTTTGGAAGGGATGTATCGTTCGCAGCGGCACGACGTCCTAACTCCGCAGAGTAGTCCGGAATCACGCAGCGTTCGTCAAGAACAACGTAGCAATGCAGGGAGCGTCGGATCCGCGATATCACAAGGCGATATGTATCCGCTAGATCAGCCCACCTTCGAACTCGATCATCTGCCTCTACATATCCCAACGATCCTTCATTGTAAGTGTCGACGAAATCGTGTCCCGATTTGGTGGATAACTACAAAAGTTGTTAAAATTATCCGAGTTCCTTCACGGGAAAGAACGATTTTGCTGAAGTATCTAAAAATTTAGATAGCTACAGATCTGAAAATAATTCTGTTGGACCATCTTTATTCTGAAAAATATTTTCAGAGCATTTATATTATTGAAGATATTCATAGATATTTTTTACGCCGCAATTGAGATTGATGTTTAGTGTGATGTCTCTTGACAAATATTTAATCTATGTATAATAAACTGTATGAAAATAATAGTAATAAATTTAATATACATATAAACAGATAATACAAAAACTATTTTGTATATGCAGCTTGTATTGTTTTTCACAATATGTGCGTGTTAATTTAATATAATTATCATTAATAGTAATTTCATTTTATACTTTTTATTATATCCGTTGCATCGATCAATATGTTGCAGCCACGATACCAAAATGTGGTGGATGTCAGGAAGTTATTTTGGATAAATACGTTCTAAGGGTTCTGGAGAGGTGTTGGCATGCAAGGTGTCTTACATGTCGGGATTGTGGTGCCAGATTGACCGACAAATGTTTCGCGAGAAACGGCCATGTGTTCTGCAAAGATGATTTCTTCAAGTAAGCACCAATAATTGTTATCACGATATTACATATACACGTGCAAATTAATATTTCTAAAATATTATGTAGATTATGTAGATTTATATACGTATAAAATTAGTTCTATACATAAAAGCATGTATCATTTATTACAATTTATAATAATATTTACTGCTAGTTATTCTTATTAATTTATTTTTGATCGTTTTTATTAATTTTATCTTTAAGAAAATCAGTTATAATATATACGAATACAATAACTGTATTTTTCTTAAAACCCTGAAATCTCTAAATTCTATTTTTATATTTTTGTCAATTTTTTATTTGAAATGTTAAACTATCACAGAATTATCTTGTTTAATCACATTTTAATACTATAAAGAAAAGATAATAAGAATAAAGAATAAATAAAACAAAAATAATGAATCATTCGATCGATTAAATTTGACGAATCGCGATAATTTCATATCAGCTGTATAGTTTTGTCATTGATGTGTGAATGTAATGTGAAAATATTGTATGTTGTTGGTGTGGCAGGCGTTTCGGGACAAAATGCGCGGGCTGCGGCCAAGGGTTGGCACCTTCGCAGGTGGTTCGAAGGGCGCAGGAGTTCGTCTATCACCTTACATGTTTCTCGTGCGCCCTTTGCTCTCGGCAACTGGACACTGGTGACGAATTTTATCTCATGGAAGATAGAAAGCTCGTCTGCAAGCCCGATTATGAACAGGCGAAGGCGAAAGGTAAGAAGTAACTTTTACGTAATCTTTTTTAAATTGCCAACAGATAGCATTTTCAAGAAAGAATTATTTCTCGTAACTCTCTTTATTTAAAATAATTTTCTATAGCAGTTCAGTACAACGTTTATGTTACTTTTTAGGATACTTTATTCATTATGATCAAGGCTGTATAACAGATATATTATTAATTGAATAATTAAATAAAATGTTTCCACAAGATATATAATATGTAATTTATATGGCACTTCAGAACTGGCAGATGGGGGAAGTATAGACGGTGATCAACCTAATAAGAGGCCACGAACGACGATCACAGCAAAGCAGCTCGAAACTCTCAAGCTGGCATACAACACCAGTCCGAAGCCAGCAAGGCACGTGCGGGAACAGCTGTCTCAAGACACGGGCCTCGACATGCGCGTCGTTCAAGTCTGGTTTCAGAATAGGTAAGAAAAATTGGAAGTTGGACTTACAAAAATTACGCACTGAATAATATTCATGGTGGAACACGATAGAGAAGTTAGAAAAGAAAAGATAATTTTAGATTCTGATGAAATTATTAAATTAAGAGAGAAGCATTGCTCATCTCTCGTCATCAGGATTCTGCATTAGCTCTGATGTGGTCTGTAATATGGTTTCCGAAGCCCTTTATGGAAGCAATTAAGAGATTCGGAGATGTTGAGAGACATCCGTCCCCGAATATATTATCTCTTTCTACATAAAACATTTAATTCAATTAATGATGATAGAAATTAATTTTTATCAAAAATTAATTTCCAAAATAATTTTTATTCGAAAATTATGCTTCATGTATCATTTAATAATGCAAATAATGTAGAGACATTAGTTTTGTCTGGATTTTATAAATCCTAGAAATGAGTCACAGATTATGATAATAAAATTGACGAATGAAATTTGAAATCTAGACAGGAAAGAACGCTTTTGTAGTATTGCAGATTTAAAGTATCCAAATATTTAAGTATATGTAAATTTGAAAATGATTTTGTTGAACCGTCACAATAATTATGTAGAAAATTCGCATTATGAGCAATGCTGCAAAAAAATGTTGACAATCAGTTTTAACATTCTACATAATTATTTTGAGTAGTCCAGCAAAATTTGTTTTCAAATCTGTGTGTGTGTGTGTGTGTGTGTGTGTGTGTGTGTGTGTGTGTGTGTGTGTGGTTAAATTTTTAGATATTTCAGCAAAACCACTCTTTCTGTATATACGTGTTGCTAATTTTACTCAACTTTATTCAATATACCCAAGATCATGACACACCGCAAGCGCTGTACTTTGTAACTGTGGATATACATTTTTCTCTCTTATCGCTCAAGTAGCACTACGTGATATTGTCGGAGGGAAAGTAACGATCAGTCGCGAAAAATTCTTTTATCTATGAAAGGAGAATCCCAATCGCTTATCAGATGCGAATGTTAGAAAGCCCGTGAAAATAACATGACGGATAAGTAAATAAGACCTATCAATGGCTATAGATAAATATACTATATAACACGTAAATTCATAAAATTGTACACGTGCAATGTAGTTTTCTAGAAAAATCGAATCGATATTTGACGTAATGCGAGATTAATATCAGATTGTCGCGACGAGATAAGATACACATTCTTTCACTATTCAACGAATCAATAATGGAGAGTAGAAATTTATGAGACGTTAGAATATTTATCATAAAAAATCGAGTACTTATCATAACGAGTATGTTTATCATCCTACAAGTTATTCTTTTTTTTTTATTTTATCTATGTTCAGTATCAACCATTGAACACGTGATATCAAAGTAATAAAGTGGGAGATTTATCATATATATATATATATATATATATGTGTGTGTGTGTGTGTGTGTGTGTGTATATTAATATATAATTATAAGTTTTCACTATTTATATTAGCACGATATCCAAATATATCAATAAAATTTTTAAATATTGTTTATGAAAAAATAATTGACGATTAAACGCAATGAGATATCTCAAATAACTTAGGATTTATATAAACCTATATTTTGCTAAATTATTATAAACATTTGAAAAATTGTTTCTTGATCATTTTTTTTAAGTTCAAATTAAGTATTTATGATACTTAATTAGTATTATTTCTACTATATCTATACTAGATCTTATTTCCGGAAGTTTTTGAAATAAAATTTTTTGAGAATTAGCTATTTAGTAATTGTTATTAATTATTCAATATGGTCTTTGTAGGAGGGCGAAAGAAAAGAGGTTGAAGAAAGATGCTGGTAGGACGAGATGGTCGCAATATTTTCGCAGTATGAAAGGTGCCGGTTCAGGTGGTCACTCGCCTAGACATGATAAGCTACTTGACAAAGATGAGCTAAAGGTAGATTTGGACTCCACCTTTGGTCATCACGGTGAGTTGCATTATTGCATTATCATTTTGTTGATATAAATACAAGAATGTCAATAAAAAGTACAGAAAGAATTGAAAGATAAGCATAATTCTGGTGTGTGTCACAATTTATCTCGATTCTATTACTATAAATACTATAGTTTGTAATAAATTGGTTCCTTCAACGTTGAAATAAAGTTTCTAATCAAATTAAAGTCTTAAGATTGAATTTTGGGAAATAAAAGATTTTTAGTTAAATTAGCATTTGTTGTTCGCTTAATCTTAAAAACAGATTTTAATACTAGTTAATTCCAAATAAACTTCTACTACAAAATCTTGATATAATGATAAATATGAAAACACAATAAAAAAAAATAATGAAAAAAACATTAGAAAGCATTGGAAAAAATTATGTTACACCAAAAAGACATTTAATAGCTAAATGTAATAAGACAATGTAAATATATGCTATATTATATAAAAATATGCACATGCAATTGGTAGCTATCATTCACAAGATGCTCTCTCTCTCTCTTTCTCCCATATAAAATAATTATATATCAAAATTATTTCTATAATAATCGTATCAGCCACTTCCGAAACAACCTAAACGAGCGCTGTATTATATGGTACCTGAGTATTCCCGAGTAAGAGCAGGTAATAGCGAGCATAAATTCAAGGATGGCCCGCAATCTTCCTGAAATCTCGGACACGGTGAGCCGGCAGTTAGCCTCCGCGATCTCCTGAATATTTGAGGAGATCGTCCTCCCCTCGGATAGCAGGCATCTGAGTACTGAGAGACGCAGATACAATGGATGCCGCAAGTCGCTGGCTCGACTTTCGACTTTCAACTTACGGCGTTAGAATGATCACTCGTTTCAAATAAATAGCTTCCGTGACTGAAAGCACCTTTTTAGTCATCTATTTTTAATATATCCTAATTCACATCGTTATATTTAATTTCTTTGCAGATCTCTAAGAATAGAATATTTATGTTATATTATATTATACCTTTGAAAGATGTAATACGCGTTCTCCATCTAATTGCTAGCCTGAAACCTAATGAAGATAAACGATCTGTTTGCAGACTTGAGTAACGATAGCTACGGAACAGTGGTGAACATGGGTCTGGATGGCGAGGGTGCGAGTCCAGGTGGTGGCAACGGAGCCGGGGGTGGACCGCCCCGCGGATACCTGGGTGCGACAACACCTCCGTATCTCTCAACGTCCAGATCGCCGTCCTTACCACCCCAGTTCCCATATCCGCCGGACGCTGGTCTCTCGGTTTATACCACTCTCGGTAAGTCCAACGTCAATTACTATAGCAACATACTTTTGAAAGATTACTACTCTCTTTCTATATCTTCAAGTCTTCCAAAACTGCCTCCTAACATTTCGCAATTTTTTAAATTTTTTCGCAACTTCTTCAGTCCTTCAATTTCGTCAACCCTCTTTCAACAATGTCAAGAGATTTTTGATTTTCGTAACGCTTTTTGGATTCTCCCAAATCTATCAATTTTCTCAGCTCTCATGTCAGTTCCCATTTTAAATGAGCCTTGGTCAATAATACACTCGGGTTGAGACAAGAAGAAACTCGAGCTTAAACTATTCTAGTGCGAGAGTCGCAAGTTTACGACTGACGCAAACCGTATGATTCCAGGGGGACCGGGCGGCATGGTGCCAGGACCAGCGTCGGATCTGAGTAACGAATCGAGTGGAGGCGGCGGTGGCGGCGGCGGCGGTGGCGGTGGTAGCGGTGGTGGCGGTGGTTACCCCGACTTCCCGCCGTCGCCGGATTCCTGGCTCGGCGAACCGCCACCCCCGCATGCTCACCATCATTCTCATTCCCATTCCCATTACGCCACATAACCCGCCAAAACCGCGCGTCGCCAAATATCACATAGAATAACGTGCTGGCGAAGCGGGGCATTCACTTGAGACCGTCGGTGTCGGCCTCGTCGTCGTTGTCATCCCTGGGGAAGCTGAAGAAGTCTTTCCCGATGTTACTTCATATAAAATAATAAATTTCGTAAAATTCATTAAATGTGTATACGTTCGACGCTTGATTCTGTTTTGATCTCTTTACTGCAAGGAAAATCTAAAATCTTTTTGTGTATATATGGAAGGTCAAAAGCAAAAATGGATTTTTATTTTTCATTAAAAATGATAATCTTTCAATTTATTACTTCTGATATTTTTCCACATTTTCATGTGGAATGTGTTATTTTTTTCATGTATATATTTCTTATTTATATAATATCTATATTTTTAATTTATTTTGAAGTGAAATTTATAGAATTTATAACAATTTATAATCATAATCATTTTAGTGATTTAACATTTGAATAATAGAAATCACATTTTCGCTTTTAAATCTTTTAAATCTTTTAAATCTTTTATATTATTGATTAGTGTTAGGATATCGATTAATGTTAGGATAAATTAATTTTTGGGTAGATCATCTGCGATAAATTGCGAGAAAAATTTCGAGACGATTTTCGATAATTGACATGATCTTCAACGACGACGGATTGTGCGATGCTCGTGAACGTCCCTCATGGTCCAAATCCGAGTTATTCTATGCTGGTATTTTACACCGTCCCTCCTCACGATCTTTCGTCATCCGAGCGACCGTATCGACGTCATACCCTTATCCTATATAGCACAGAAATATTGCAGCAACATAAAAATGTCCGTTTTAAAAATATTGATATGTAATGTTGCAGCAATATTACAACATAATATATATGCAATAATAGGTTTTGCGCACAATGGAGGAATACTTACAATATTATTGCAGAAACATTGTAATAATGTAGCAACATTATTACTAATCTATTAATGTAGATTAACTTTAATCTCGGTTCAACTTACTCTTCGCCTTTTTCTAATCTTTAAAATTAGAAAAGGACGAAGATAAATTGAACTGAGATTAAAATTAATCTATATTGGAAATGGACATTAATCGGATTTAATAATATTCGTAGTTAGAAACTAATCAGTCATTCCATTTTTCAAAGGAATATAGTTATAAGATTGGTCAGTTTCATAACTATATTATGAAACCCGATATTATGAAACCCGATATTATGAAACCCGATTAAGTTTGCCGTGTAAACGTGATCATTAATTCCTATTCTTCCATTATGTCCATTATGTTCCATTAGGTCCTTACTTTATTGGATTATACAAGTCAATATACAAGTCTTAATACTCAAAGTGAACTTTCTAGACGCACAAATCGATACAGTGACGTCATTCTTGTCTTTCTTGGACAAGATGACTCTTGTCAATTTGTGTCTCTTACTGAAAATATTTTAAATACTGCTGCAACATTGCTGAAGTAATATTGCAAAAAGAAGTCTTCGCAAACATGTTTCTGCAACATTGTATTGCAATATGCAACATTGAAATGTTGCAGCAATGTTGTTACAAGTTTCTGTGCGGTATGGGATGGCACACATACGATTCGCATTCGATACTACGACTAATCTAAATATATTTATGTACAAGTTCCTCGTTTTTCGAAGTTTGATTGTCGAATAATAATAGGAGGTAGTGATAAACGTGTCCCGGACTGTTCGCGGATCCATTCGTCGTGATCTATGCTAATCATTATTTCATTTTAGTCTCTAATGAGCCCAGAAGACAATTTGTAGAAAATGAGATGTCGAGATTTTATAACAAGACATGTGCAAGTTTTAGTTTTAGAGAAATGAGATATGACATACACATATATTTGATATTGTCTGAACGAATTCACATCATCATGACGAATGTGATCATCTGTATGATCGTATCACACTGTCTCTAGATCCGATTTTCATAAAATAAGTTTTTATAAAGTATCAAAGTCAATTTAAAAAAATATATATACATATATATATATATAAATTCAAAATTTGATAAATTTGCAAAAGAATGTATGATCCATTTTTTTCTTGTCAGATAGATTTGTTCTTTATATTTTCTTACTATCTTTAAGGTATTTAAAAGTATATAATTTCTTGGAATGTTGAGATAAAATGCTTTGTATAATCTAAATTACTATCTTATTGCTTTATGTTATCATCGAATAGAAGAAATAAGGAATTATTTCCGATAGACGATCAAAATAAAATAATTGTTTTTATTTTTATTATCATGAGCGATCTTCGAAGACTTGAATTCTGAAAATCGGGCATCGGACATATGTGATGACGATTTACTTTGCTTGCGTGTGACGCTAAAATCTTGACGTGTGTATTGTAAATAGTATGAATTATGAAAACCTGTAGGAAAAAGTTGGTCCAATTCATCTGATCTTATTACTTTCTAATTACCTTTGCATTATTAAACATAAAAAAAAATAAATCAAATTACGCCAACTTAGTAACCTTAATAACATAATTTATACTATATTCACGTGAATGAATACATTTTCATTTCTTTCGAATTAGATATTATATTGTATAGAAATTTTCTTTTTTAAAATTGAATATTCATGGATTGGAAACTTTTTCTTGCTAGTTAAAAAAAGATTGACGTGCAAAGATTTCAATATGCACAACAATGTTACGTTAAACAACATTCACTTAATTTACATTTGTAAATGTTTCTACAAATGCATATTGTCCATATTACCTCCACTGGATACGTTTTAATTATTATATTTAATATAAATTTGAAATTTATAAAACGAATGCAAAATCGCTACAATCTTTGAGTAGAATTGTACAATCTCGTGCATTCTTATGCTATTTTTGCGCGCCAATTTATGCAACCAACGATCAAAATTATAGTAATTTCGAACTGCACTTCGTTGCTTGACTACGAGGTCATGTAAGCCGTCGATAACTTGTAAGTGACTCGCGTCATTGTGTATACAGAAAAGAAATTGAAAAATAGTTCTCGAGTCATAAGTCGCAAAATATGTTGATAATCAAAACAGAAGAAAGATAAATTAAACAAATTGAACGTACGATAAAGCCATGCTAAATGAAATAACCATAGAATAATAATATGAATCTTAGATGAATTAACAAATTGAGTATCTTATTGTTATTAAAATATGTTCACAAGAATGGTAAAATGTTTCAGATAATGGCCAGCAGAATATTTATTTTGCGATGTTGTGAAAATTTTCTTCATAAAGATAGGACTATTCCTCTAGATTTAAAAGTGTAATCCAATCAACGCGAAAAAAACTTCATTGCAAAATAAACATTCGCGGCCATTATACATTATCATAATTTTTCTACAATAATATTTTCATGTATTATATTACCTCTTTGTTAAGAATATAATAAAAATAAGAGGTTTCAGGGTTTTTACACAAAAATTTTAAATAAATATAATATACATATACAGAATATAGCAGAAGAGGTATGCTTTGTGGCACTTTGCAATTTTTACGATTTCGTAATGAAGAAGATAAATAGAGCAGCAATAGATTGATTAATCCAAACGTCTCATATTATTATTAAATGGTATGTTAGCATGCAACGCGAGCGGCAATAGCGACAAAAGTGCAAGAATGTCATTGTAGAATTGTATATATCTCGGTACCGTTCCCAACTCTCTCCATTCCCGTCACGCTCCTTGTCCTCTTACATGCTCTCATACGTTTTACCAACGGATACGATTATCGCGAACGGAAGGAAACGGTAAGAAAGGTATATTAGACTTATAAGAAAGATTAATGTTGTACAGTATTTCTCTCCGCTCCTCGCCGGATGTGCGGTCGAAGGAATTCGCGTGTCTGGCGCAGTTCATAAACTTCACATCACTATGTGAGTTATTACGGATCTTTATATTATTATCTAGTCATGGAGTGATAATAAAAATTCTATCATAATCTTAATTTCTGTGCGTGGTTTTATTCCTATTATTCTCATGTATCAAGTATCAAAGTGTGCGGCACATTACCAAGTGTGGTTAAACCACTTCGGAAATGGAAGATGTAGATCATCGAATTCAAAAGCAGAAATTCGAAAAGCTAAATATAATCAACATGATGTACATACTTGTGATTGACGCACATTCTGCATATCAATGGCACTTTATTCATGGTGATTATGTACAGATGCTACATAACGATATATGAGTTATAATTATTATATGTACACACATACGTAAATTTCTGTTATTCATAAAGCAAAATACGTCAGTAAACGAAGACAGGATTTGATATCGACGTTCGCGCCGTATTCAGTACTTGGAAGAACTTTTCCACAATGAAAAAAAATCTACAAAAATGTCAAAAATATCATGCGCGTATTCTGTATAAATATATACAAATCTCAATGTACAAGTTCATCTTAAGCTCTCTTTCATTACATTTTTTGTATTCTTTTTTTAAATAGCGAAAATAGGTTCTCCTGTGTATGAAAATATTTGTCGCTTAGAAAACTTCTTCGTTTAAAAATTTCGTAATGCCTGAGTATTACATTTTTTTTTGTACCAATGTATCGTTAATTCTCTCATCTCGGGAAAAATGTGAGAAGAGATAAATGAGAAACGCAGATAAAATACGGTACATTGAATGAACAGTAAATCTATGAGAACACAATTCAACAAGTAACAACTTCCATAGTTCTACTTCCTTTTTCACTTTTTGTGTAATATTTTTTTATTTATCAGTCAGTCTGTAATCTCTTAATTGTCCAAAGGTTCATCGAATGTCCTCGTCTTTTTTAGGATACTTCTTGTAACCATAAGCTGTTTTATTATCGCTTTTTCAACGTTTTTCTTATTCTTGTTTGAAGCTGATAAGTGTTCAAATGTATCTTCCAGAGCTTTTCTAGTTTTCACTAGTCTTCGTTTTAACGCTTCATTCTCCTGTTTTAAAACTTCCATCTCTTCAAGACCTATAATTGTAACATTAAAGAATCATTTAAATTATTTTAAAATAAATTCAAAAGTAAATATTATTAAATAAGACTAATTATTTTCAAATAAAAATTATAAGATAAAAATAGTTTCATAAGTTTTTAAAAACAAAAAGGATGTAACATATTCATAACATTTTAAACAATTTTTTTCAAAACACACCTTCTATCGGTAATGGACTTTCACTGTTTGAATCTTGAGCTCTATGATTACCATTGTCTTCGTCGCT